TTCACCCTAGATAACATACATGTTTCGATGCTGTACTTTTGAAACATCCCACCCTCGCCTTCTCCCACAGAGTTCACAAGTCTGTTCTATACATCTGTGTCTCTTTTTCTGTTTTGCATATAGGGTTATCATTACCATCTTTCTAAATTCCATATATATATGTTAGTATACTGTAATGGTCTTTATCTTTCTGGCTTACTTCATTCTATATAATGGGCTCCAGTTTCATCCATCTCATTAGAACTGATTGAAATGAATTCTTTTTAATGGCCGAGTAATATTCCATGGTGTATATGTACCACAGCTTCCTTATCCATTCATCTGCTGATGGGCATCTAGGTTGCTTCCATGTCCTGGCAATTATAAACAGTGCTGCGATGAACATTGAGGTGCACGTGTTTCTTTCAGATCTAGTGTCTTTAGCTTTTGATAAATCTTAACCCTGAGGCATTTACCAGCTTAGATTCTGAATTGCTTATATAGTCTGTCATGGCGGTACAGCTGCCTCAGTCTAGTGGCCTCCTTGTTTAATTAGACAAGTCCAAGTACTTAAGTGGTTAAACAGGTGCTTCTTACATAGAAGAAGTTGGCAAGACACAGAGCAGACCAAGCTGGAATCATCTCTAGCTGCAAGAGGTAAGCAGAGGGCCAGGAGAACTCATAGATAATTATTACGTGTCATAGTTGTCATGTTCTTATTGATTACTCAGCGTATGAGTCAGACTCAGGTTAGGGCTTCCCTGGTGGCGCAGTGGTAAAGAACCTACCTGCAAAACAGGAGACCCAATTTCACTCCCTGGGTTTGGAAGATCACCTGTGAGTCAGCTTCATATCTTAGGGCTTCCCCGGTGGCTCAGTGGATAAAGAATCTGCCTGCGATGCAAGAGACACAGGAGACGGGTTGGGTTCCTGGGTTGGGAACATCCCCTGAAGAAGGGCATGGCACCCTACTCCAGTATTCCTGCCTAGAGAGTCCCATGGGCAAAGGAGCCTGGAGGGCTACAGTCCAAAATGTCGTAAGGAGTCAAGCAAGACTGAACGGCTACACACTCTCTTTTAAGAGTTATCCAGTCTTACCAAGAAGGAAAAATCACATGGAAAGTGACATCCTAGTAGAAGAATAAAGTGCTATGTGAATTCATGTATATTACTGAGAGAAGTGTTGACACTTCATTTTTTCAATATCAGTCCTATTTCCTTACATTTTAAGGAAGAGGCCAAGTATCAATGTTTTGAATGTCTGCTATATTAATGGAAGCACCTAACCCAATGTTAAAAGCATAGAGCTCCATCACCATAGATGATTACTTGATCAGTTAGTATTAGGCTTAGCAGAATCCCCTAAATGGAAAACTCAGGAATATGTGACATTAAAAAGACATAGGTTTTCTTTTCTCAATCAGGCAGTAGGTAGGAGGCCTGGGGCTGGCAAATCAGGGCCATAGTTATCAGGAACCCAGATTCTTCTTTCTGCTTCATCATCTTTTGTGCCCCTTATTCATCTCTAAAATGGTCCAGAATGACTGCTGGAGTGCTGCTGTCCATCAGGTGTGTGCTCAGGTCAGAAAGAAGTGGTTCAGGGTGGTGAAGAGAGCTGCAAGTGCACACCCTCTGGGAAGTTAGCTCCCTTTAAAAAGATTTGCCAGAATCCCCACCCAGTTACTTTCACTTATGCCTCACTAGTCATGACTAGTTGCAGAAAGACTAGGAAATGTACACTTTCATCTGGGCGTATCACCTCCTTGAATAAAATCAGATTCTGTAGGTAAGGAAGAAGGGGGAAATCCCACGTGCAGACCATGTGGTGGTCCAGCAACTGTCCTTTCCATGATCTATTTTTCAGTAATCTCAAGTTTGTGAAGGCTAATGTGGCTATTGCCAATTAGGTGGCTATGCTTTTCCTTCTTTCTAATTCCAGTGGGAGAAATTGTTGATTCATCCTCATGGTTCTTCAGGTGCTGTGAGTACTTTTCTTTGGGAATGTTGAGATATTTTTTTTGGCACATAGGAGAAAGAGCTTTCATGAAGAGCAAAGCAACATACGAGGACAGAGAAACCTTCCTAATCAAGAGATGGCATGTGGGATATTATGGGTGACGAAAGAGTAAACTGATGACAAATTGGCTTTCAGATCTTTATGCCAAATGGTCAGTATTGAAGGAGAGAGTTAGGGTGCTTTGAAGTACCTCTGAGAAGTGTCAGATGAGCCAAACTTTATTCTGTCAAAATGTCAGAATGGTCTAATTCTCCTACGAAACAAAAATAAGCAAATGAACTTTATTTTAATTTACTAGCTTTATTTTTTATTAACAAATGCACTTTATTCTAATCTACTAGTTTCACTGGTACCCTGGCTAGAGATAATAATTACTATTATCTGCCAAGTTCCCAGAAAAATGGAGAAAATTGAATTATTACTTTATTGGTCTCTCAAATAAGATGATAGGATATTTTTCCAAATCCTCCTTATCTGCAGCAGGAGGAATGTTGTCCCATTTGAAAGCACTATTATTATCAACAATAATGGAAAAGACAGTAAATGGCACCCAGACCTAGGGCATATCATCATGATACAATTTTCACTACACCAGCTTTGTGGCCAGTGCTATGCTGAATGAAGTTTAAGTATAGCTTCTGCCCCATGGCCCAGATCAATTTTGCAGCCATTATTCTGTTTCATTTAGCTTTAAGACTAAATGGTCAATTGTGTAGTTAGGTTCTTGCCAATGCATTTGTCTACAGCAGCAGCATCCACTTTTGAGATGAGTCATAAGTGTAAAATTGAACAAGAGGAAAAAATAAATGAATCACAAAGCCTGTCAGAGGCCCTTGAAAGTCCAGCCCAAGTGCTAGTAAATGGTAAAGGGGAACATGTTTACTGTACTAGAGATAGACTAAATGGATTAAATGGATAGATAATTGGGAAGGGTATGTGGGAAAATTGAATGAGTGTAATGGGTAAATAAGCATAGCACAAATGGACAAGTTTTTGATGCTGAAATTGAGTACAGCCAAGGTCAGTGCTTATATCACCCAGATGAAAAGATTGCAGTTTGCTTGGGCTAGAATGTTTCTGTATGCCACACGCATCTGGCTTGAAGCATCTTTGACTTAGTCATGCTTTCCAGAAAGAATGCTTTAATTAGGCAGAGAAATGGGGTACAGTGAGAGATAATGGGTCTGTGAGAGGACTTAGTAACCATAGACTTGCATTCATCCCAGAAAAAAAGGTGCAGGGTATATACCCTTAGCACTGAGATATGCTACTCATGATTAGCATTTTCACTGGAACAAGTAGGTAGAATTATTTTACTGCTTTATTTCCCCCCCATAGTAGCTTGTTATTGCATTCATTCCTTCTTTATTTAACTCAACAAGTATTTAATAATTGCTTTCTACATACAAAATACTGGAAAATAAATCATATTTTTTAAAAGTCATACTGTTCAAAGGGTCAAGACATCTATATTTGGGAAGATAAAATATAAAGAACATCCATTATGAAGGACTTTCTATGAAATATGGGTGATAAATGGTGGCTCGGTCATTGGGAGCACTTGCTATTTGAGTTTTTTCCCCAGAAGTTTAAAAAATGTCCTTTGAGGAATGAAACAAAGTGCAGGACTTTCAGATTAAGAACTGCAACCATCAGCTTCCTTCTTTGTGGTTCATAAATATCCATTTAATTTTTTTCAATTGTGTGCTGAAAATGTAATGAAGACTTCATTGCGTATTCTTTATGGTTTAGCACTTGTGGACTTTGCTTATTTTGCAAAAGATTGTTTATCTTCACTGGGACTTAACTTCCAGTTAAATGAGTATTCTGATTAACTGAGGGTTTTGTATATGAATTTGAACTTAATATAGTACACTTATCAATAACACTGTTACAGAAATGATTTAATCTGATTTGTTTCTATAGATAGTTTAGGAATTTCCAAACTAAAACACAGGAACAAAAACTACTAGGATCAATCCAGAAATTATTATTCAGGACTGCATATGTGAAAGGTCTGGAGAGTGGAGCTGAGCCCGTACTAAGCCCAGGATACATCCCTAGAGATTACTTAAAAAATAAGTCTCTGATATTAAATATTCGCTAGCCTCTTTTTTATGGCAGTAGAATGCAGAATATACACAAAAAGAAAGAATAAAAACAAACAAAACATAAGAACCAAGCACTAGAAGAACTGGGATAGGATTGTGTGTATATAAGCTTTTATGAAGATGTGAGAACTAGGGTAAGTCCTGTCTCTTGCTTTTCTCTTAACTTATACTGTGTGTCCTCAGTCATTCAGTCTTGTCCGATTCTTTGTTGACGCCATGTAGCCCAACAGATTTCTCTGTCCACACTACTTTACAACTAAGGAAGTGAAGTGAAGTTTCTCAGTCATGTCCAACTCTTTGCGACCCCAGGGACTGTAGCCCCCCAGGCTCCTCTGTCCATGGGATTTTCCAGGCAAGAATACTGGAGTGGGTTGCCATTTCCTTCTCCACTATAAAGTTAAGATGGTCATAAAACATGTTTACATGCTAAACTGAGCCTATAATGCTTTATTTTCTTAATATTTATAGAATAGCTTTGCTAGGTACTGTACTAACTTCCAGGGGTATAACAGTGAATTAAATATAGTCTCTGACCCCAAAGAAGCCTCGTTACCAAAGCTCCAAACCTTTGAGAAATAACCACTGTTTAAACTCAGAACCTAGATATGTTTAAACACATGCAATTGATTTCTCATTGATAGGAGACATGAAAGGACCAATCAATATGATCTCATTTACTTTCTGCCTATCTACCTACATGATAGTTATTTTTGACAGCTTAACAAAGCCAGTTTATGATTGTTGTATTTCATCTTAAAGCTATCTGAACTTAGACTCTTTGAATGCGATTTCTTGCAGATATACATGGAAGAGCCTTAGCACTATGGACTTCCTCACATGCATGTGCATTGCTGGTTGGTCCCCCATGCTAAGCCAGAAGCAGCCATGGTGCCATGAAAGAGACAAGGCATCCCAGAAACCTAAGGTTCAACCCATGGGCTATCTCACAAGGCAGGGGGAGTTTGGGTTTCAGTCTACCCAGCTCAGAACACAGGGTCAAGGAACACCAGGCAGCCCACACTTGCCATAGCAGCTTCCTGGATGCCTGTCAACTGGCCCGAAAAGCCTTTTACCCAGTTTACTTTTATAAACTTGCATTTTTGGCTCTTAGACCAGATAAGATGTTTAAAATTTATATCCCTTCATTTATTTTAAGTAATGAGGAAAAGACCGGTTATGGTCAACAATCCCCAGGGCTACAGTCCTTTTGATTTGGGCAAATAGATAATAAAGCCTATAGAGTTTCCTTTGCTGAAAGTGCACTTAATGTAACCAGTGTAGTAGGAGATTAGCAAGGGCCTGCCTCACAGAATTTTGCACCTTTTTTGTTTTGTTTTGATTTGTGTTGTATAGCAAAAACCATCACAACATTGTAAAGCAATTATCTTCCTCCAATTAAAAAATAAAGTATTAATAAGAAAAAAATAAACCTTCTTGTTTTTTTGTGAAAAAGAGAGAGGTGGTCTTTATGAATGCAAATGATGGCTTGCTTTTGTTCCACAAAACATTGAGAGATGGTGTTAGCTATTGCTATCAAATATCTATGCATATACAAATGTACATACAAGTCTACTCTGTATATTTGTGAGCAAGTCAGAGGCATATATCTTATGAACTTGGATATTCAATGCTTCCAGGTTGATGGAGACTGATGAAAATAAAAGTCATCTCTAAGTGAAAGACTTCATAATTGATGGTTTTGGACTTCAGAGAAAAATTGACTTTTTGATCTTTTGGGTATGAGGATGGACAGGGAAATCAGGCTCTGCCTATATCTGTCATGTGATAAACCCTTTATTTATAGCCTAGCCCAGAACTCAGGGGACCCAGTGTCTTCTCATATGTACAACTATGAGCTCCCTGCAGGTAAAAACCAAGATCCTGTCTTCATTTTGAAAACAGCCTGTACTAGGCCACTTGTTTTAATGTTTCATATTTTCCATTTTATAGATATCATATAATCATGTTTGGGGCTTTATTTTTAGACCAAGAAAGATTTTAATGATTGGTCTGAAAGCTTCAAGTCTGATAACTTAATTATCAAAATCCATGTACCTGTCAGAAAATTCAACAAAATGTTTTGATTACAGGGATGACTTACTAGGCAATCAGGTAAAGTGGTTTAATGGAAGTGTGGTATGGTTGGGACTCTATCAACATGACTCCGCTGGGTAGAAAGCAAAGCTCCTCCATCAATGGAAACTTAGGCAAAGACTTTCTTCCTGCAGTTTCCTTACATACTGCGCTAAAGGAAGTATGAAATTCTGAGCAAGCAAATTAATTTTACAAAGCACTTAGAGGCTGAATTTAAAGTTCCAGTGGAGACCATTGGAAAAATATGTTGAGTGCTTTTAGTGAAAAGTCTACTTATTGCTCAGTTGTAACCAACAGATGTAGTGTTATAACTGGCAGGGGGTCAGGCTGTGAAGAGGAGGACAGCTAACAGAGTGTAGCATGATGAATCCAGGGCAAACATGATCCTCATGTCTTGATTTCAGATTGGGATGTAAAGTACATTATCCAGACCCATTCTCTCAGAAATTGTTCCAAAGATTTGTCCAGAGATATCAGAAGACATACCACAAACCCACAAGTTGTTTTTATAAATACTTGACTTATGAATAAAATGACCACATAAATTATTATTCAGAATTTTATTTGGACAGAATGTGGAATCAGGTAAAATGCTGAGACTCTACTGGGCAAATTAGAATGGTGGTTACAGTATATATGAAGCACTTGCTCAATGGCAGAAAGAGTGACTGATGGTTCCTTCACCATCTCTCAGAGTGAGCAGAGCAAGTTACTTACTGATAACGTTCCCATTTCCCATTCCATTTGTACATGCTCCTGTCTATCCAGCAACATGCTACCTGAGGCAGACTCTTTTTTGAAATATAGATAAAACTAAGCTCAGAGTCTTGCATTCATTTCTTAATTTCAGGGTTATTTGTTAAACTTCTTTGAAGAAATTTTTACCCCTCAGTGTGTCTGAGACAGTAGTTTTCAATCTGCATTTTCTTATAACATATTAGAGTATCATTATAAGTATGTTACAATGATAGGTAAGGTACCAAAATTTGTAATGTACTATTTTTGCATAAATTCAGGTGAATTCAGCATTATCCCTATGATGGTATAACCCTCAGATATTTCAAAATGCTTTCTGGAGAAATAGCATGAGGGCGAGCTTGAGAGCCAGACTTTCTTGTATTTTAAATCTCGTTGAGTTGAACAGTCTCCTGTGTCATTGTGTCTCTTACCTTTGTTTAACTAGGGAAAAAGTTGAGAATCTATCTTCCACTTATCTACTGCTACATAACATTCCAATACATAGATAAAGGCTTAAAGCAAAACAATATGCTTTGCTTTTGCTCATGTGTTTGCAACCTGGTCCAGGGCCCAGTGGGATTAGCTTTCTTTTCATCCACTCACAAACAGCTGGGTTGATGCTAAGGCTAGAAGTTGGAATTGTCTGCAGACTTGCTCACTCTCATGTCCAGAAAAGAAATGTACATTGTTGTTCACAGAGGACTGTGGCTATACTGTATTTTGCAAAAGTGGCTATAGCTTCATTTCTGGTCCTATGTGCTTTCCCAGAACCTTGACACTTGCTCATCAAGAAGTGAGGTTTATATACTTTTCCCTGGATCCTGGGAAGGATAGGGAGGGAAAGCTCTGACTATTCAAATATGGCAGAAGTCTTGCCAGCCTTGACTTTAGAGGCTGGGCTGGAAAAGGTAACGTGGCTTTCCTCTTGCCTCTCTCTCAGAGTGCTCACCCTTAGAAGCCCAGGCCACATGAAAAGACATGGGTGAGTGTTTGGTCAACAATCCCAGCAAAATCTTCAATAAGTGACTAGAATCAGTCATCAGACATGTGAATAAATGAGTCTTCACTCACTCTAGCCCCCATTGTTAAGCCATGCCAGTTAATCCCATGCAGAGCAGAGACGAGCTATCCCCACAAGGTCTTGTATAAATTGCAGATTTGTAAGAAGAATAGATAATTGCAACAGATAGCTTAAACACTATGCTTTGAAGATTAAAGAGAGGAAACATTCAAAATTTTCTGAAGATCCCAGAGTGTACTCTGGAACAGAAATGGCTTTATTTTTGTATGCTGATATATTTTTTCTGTGTAGTTATATAGTTAAATTTTCCTGTATAGATATATTTTTCCTGTATAGTTGAAATGAACATGAGGCTCTTATCAAATTTCACTTCCTTCCACCAAAGCATATATTCTGATTCCCTTTTCTAGAAAGTATCCTTGCTATAGAATGTAGACTCACAGAGCTACACTGATAATTTGCAGATTTGGCAATGTGTACTCTCAAATTCTCTCCTATCTTCTTATTTCTGAGCTGCTAAATGAGATAATATTAAACTCTAATTTTGGAGCTACATGGTAATGATAGCAAAGCATTCTTATTGTATTAATGTTGGTGGATGCCAGGATTTTAGGACATTGATTTTAGCATGAGTCCAACTTAATGAACATACATGGCGTGCTACATTACTTGCGGTTGCAAAGAGTCAGACACAACTGAGCAACTGATCTGAACTGATAGGGTACATAGAAATATTATATGAAAATGTGTAATGGAAGATAAACAAGATCAGTGTTCTTTTAGTAGGATCTTGTTGTCTCCCCTATGTTTCATGTTAAACAGGAAAACAAATAAATTCTTTTTAATGGCTGAGTAATATTCCATGGTGTATATGTACCACAGCTTTCTTATCCATTCGTCTACTGTTGGGCATCTAGGTTGCTTCCATGTCCTGGCTATTATAAACAGTGCTGCGATGAACATTGGGGTGCACGTGTCTCTTTCAGATCTGGTTTCCTCAGTGTGTATGCCCAGGAGTGGGACCGCTGGGTCATATGGCAGTTCTATTTCCAGTTTTTAAGGAATCTCCACACTGGTCTCCACAGCGGCTGTACTAGTTTGCATTCCCACCAACAGTGTAAGAGGGTTCCCTTTTCTCCACACCCTCTCCAGCATTTATTGCTTGTAGACTTTTGGATAGCAGCCATCCTGACTGGCGTGTAATGGTACCTCATTGTGGTTTTGATTTGCATTTCTCTGATAATGAGTGATGTTGTGCATCTTTTCATACGTTTGTTAGCCATCTGTATGTCTTCTTTGGAGAAATGTCTGTTTAGTTCTTTGGCCCATTTTTTGATTGGGTCATTTATTTTTCTGGAATTGAGCTGCAGGAGTTGCTTGTATATTTTTGAGATTAATCCTTTGTCTGTTTCTTCGTTTGCTATTATTTTCTGCCAATCTGAGGGCCATCTTTTCACCTTGCTTATAGTTTCCTTTGTTGTGAAAAAACTTTTAAGTTTAATTAGGTCCCATTTGTTAATTTTTGCTTTTATTTCCAATATTCTGGGAGGTGGGTCATAGAGGATCCTGCTGTGATTTATGTTGGAGAGTGTTTTGCCTATGTTCTCCTCTAGGAGTTTTATAGTTTCTGGTCTTACCTTTAGATCTTTAATCCATTTTGAGTTTATTTTTGTGTATGGTGTTAGAAAGTGTTCTAGTTTCATTCTTTTACAAGTGGTTGACCAGTTTTCCCAGCACCACTTGTTAAAGAGGTTGTCTTTTTTCCATTGTATCTCCTTGTCTCCTTATTTGAATCAGTTCTAATGAGATGGATGAAACTGGAGCCCATTATACAGAGTGAAGTAAGCCAGAAAGATAAAGAACATTACAGCATACTAACACATATATATGGGATTTAGAAAGATGGTAATGATACCCTATATGCAAAACAGAAAAAGAGACACAGATGTACAGAACAAACTTGTGGACTCTGTGGGAGAAGGCGAGGGTGGGATGTTTCGAAAGAACAGCATCGGAACATGTATATTATCTAGGGTGAAACAGATCACCAGCCCAGGTTGGATGCATGAGACAAGTGCTCGGTCCTGGTGCACTGGGAAGACCCAGAGGGATTGGGTAGAGAGGGAGGTGGGAGGGGGGATCGGGATGGGGAACACATGTAAATCCATGGCTGATTCATGTCAATGTATGACAAAAACCACTACAATATTGTAAAGTAATTAGCCTCCAACTAATAAAAATAAATGAAAAAGAAAAAAAGAAAAAACAAAAAAAAAACACAGGAAAACATTGACACATGGTTTTTCTTCTTAAATGGCACTATATTATTTATTCATGATAAGAATCTGATAAATGTGG